CCGCACAGCACACGGGAAACCGTTCACGTCACACGTGCGACGGCCCACGGGGCAGTTTGGCTCCTGGTACTTGGCCGACTTCAATGTCCTTAAGCCTTTGGGGACAAGCTGTTAACCGCTGGGCGAATCCTTCTCATCCTCAAGCCCAGACTGCAATCTACTTCTTCCATTAACAGGGACCAACTTGGCGGAGGAAACCGACTCTGCCACCCAGCACGTGCCGGCCCCACCAGGTCCCCTCCCTGTCCCACGGGGGCGCAGGGTGCGGTGGGAGGGACGCAGACTGGGGGGAGCTTGGGGGGCTGGGGGCCAGGTAGGCACTGCGGGACTTTGGGTGCGTGTCCTGGCCTCCCTCACCTGCGTCCTCACCTCTAAAGCAGGTGCGTACCTGCTCTGGGTGTTGGGAGGGCTGCACGGCCGTGCTCAAGTGCAGAGGACAAAACACCGCATGGTGTTCCTTTCGAGGGGCACAGCCCTGTCTCTGCTGCCTCCTGGGGCACTCACGGTCCTTTCCTTGCGTGACATTTACTCGCACAGTTTTTCCTTCTCCTCCAGCAGCGGGCAGTTACTTAAGAGCAGGGTTCTCGCACTCAGTCTGTGCCTGGAAGAGAGGCGCTCAGGCCAGGTTGACTTTACAGGCAACTGGACCTCCTTCCTCCCTCCCTCCTGTTGTTGAATTATTCATCACAAATGCAGACATACACTCATCCTTTGTGTTTATCAAACACCTTACCTACACCCGGAAATCTACCTTTGATCCAGAACTCTCCCATCCAGACTCCCGCCCCCCAAGTGGCATTAGGAAGAGCCATGTCAGTTGTTGCCAAATTGCTTGAGAATCACCCGCAGAAACAATGAGGAGCCAGCCTTCCAGCCGCTAACATGACTGGCTTGTAATCCGCCCCCTTCCATCCCAGGCCCCCTCGTGGGTGTGACGGCTCCTGCGCCCCCGAGCCTGGCGGACTCCAGGAATCTGTTTACATCCCGAGTCCTGGAGAACATGTGAACTGGGGCCCCTGCCGTCACATGGTCAGATGACGTGACACTCAGAGCCCCTTGTGGAAGACTGTCAGACACAACCAGACCCCCTGCAGGACAGCACAGTCGCTTTGAACTTCTTGTTTTGAGGTAGACTGTGGTTTTGAAGGGCCGGCACGCCCGTGACAGCCTTCTTCGAGGCTGGGGCCCCAGTCCGCAGGGGCTGGTGACTAGACGCAGCCCCAGAGCTTCCCCCACCCCAGACGGGGTCCTGCCCTGCGCGCTGTCCGTGACTCCAGGGAGCTTGTGCCCGGCCAGCACCCCGGGTTTGTGTCCCTTCAGCCTCATTGCTTTTCCAATGACGTTTGCTCCTTGGGGCACGTTTAACGCCCAGAGTTGACATAGTGAGTTAATTACAGTAAATTATAAAATGGCCCTTAAACGGCCTGCTTTCAGCTGGTGAGCCAGGGGGTGAACGGATGTTTTCCGCAGAGGCTCACTTGGGAGAGAGTGGAGAAGAATGGGGAGGGGGTGATATTTTAATTGGATTTAATAAGTGAGTCGCTAGTCCTCCCCCCAGAAAGAGTGACCTTTTGGGTCTACCTTGATATGTTGATCAGATCTTGCTGTAAGAATAATTATTGTTTACTGAGTTATTACTGTGTACTAGATTTTAAAAAAATCTAATTATTCAACCTTTTAAATCCCTGTTTAAGTTGGGGGTTATCTCCATTTACAGAAGGTAAAAGGGACCTCACTTGTCTGTCACCGGGAGATGAGAATTGTCATTTCCCTCTGGACAGCATCCTATCCCCACCCTCAGCTCTGGGTTTTGGGAAGTGTCACCTCCACCCCCATTGAGAGGTGGCCCCTGCCTCCTGGAGGTTGAGTCAGGGCCCGAAGGGCAAGCCAGCAGTCCAGGCCTGGGAGGCCTGTGGGCAAACCACTTATAATAAGCCTTGTGTTATTCCTAAAATGAAGGGCTAGAAATTGTTGATCATCACGTGATTTTTTTCCCCATCTGGCAAATAAAGATCAAACATATACATATCTAGCTGAATCACTATGCTGCACACCAGAAACTAACGCAACATTGTAAATCAGCCATACTTCAATTAAGGAAAAAAAAAGACCAAACATCTCTTTATGCAGGCCTATAAGACTCTCCACAATCTGAGCCTTTATTTCCAGACTTCCCTAGTTGAAATCTGTACTTGGGCCAAGATGCCCTGAAGGAAACTGGATTTTCTTCCTTTAGGCCTTTGTTTCGCCTCAATTACCTTGGGAGCTTTCAACACCCACCTTCATTCTTATCTCCACTGGGTGAAGCACAACCAGCTCAGTCTGTAGGCCACCTCCTCCAGGAAGCCTTCCGTGAGACTCTGAACCCCGCAGTCAGTTTCCGTGGTTCTCGGTGCTCACGTCCTGTGCTCACTTCCCCTCCTCTTCAAGTGTGTGCTGGAGTGGGGGTGGGGGCTGCGACTGTTACTGATTCATCTGGCCACTGGCCTTAGGCCTTTGGATGTAGATTTGAATAAATAAGTTTAAATGATGCCGATTGGATGAATATATGTCCAACATCTCAGAGGAGCTGGAAGGATGATAAGAAGACCTTGAGTCATTTACAACAAAGTTGGAAGAAGACCCCAAAGATCCGCATAGACGCTGGATTTGTTAATTGCCCAAAGAGGTGGTATGTCAATAAGAAAACCCAGCCAGAAGTAGCCTTAAAGGGAAAAGGTGTTATTTACACAAGCAGGAAAAACCGTGTCTCACGGAGCTCTGCCTGCGGCAGGGCGGTCACTTCGCAGCCCAGCAGTGTGCACGAGGACCAGGGTCTCCCCGGCTCTGCCCCACCATCCCTGCCGGTGGTCTGGCGCTTTTAATGGGGCCCCCCTCTCCCAATGGCAAGACAGCTGCCACCTTTCTCAGCATCAGATGCAGACGATCATATTCAGAGTGGGAAGGGAAGTCTCCCTCACGTGTTCCTTTTCATGAGAAAAATACTCTCCCAGAAGACTCCGGTAGGTCTCTCTGTATGTCTCAGGGGCCAGAACTGATCACCTGCCCATGCCTGTTTGTTCATCTATTTATTCGTGTTTTTAGATAGACTTTAGTTTTTAGAGCAGTTTTAGGTTCACAGCAAAATTAAGGGGGAGGTACAGAGATTTCCTGTGCCCCCTCTGCCCCCACCGGTGCACAGCCTCCCCCGTTACCCACATCCCAACCAGCGGGGTACGTTTGTCACAATCCATGAACCTGCATGGAATGTCACCATCATCCAGAGTCCACGGTGTATGTTAGGGTCACTTTCCATGCTGCACGTTCTGTGGGTTTGGACAAATGTGTAATGACCTCCATCCACCACTACGGTCCGGTACAGAGTAACCCACTGCCCTAAAAATCTTTTATGCACCCCCTACTCAACCCTTCTTTAGTTTTATTTTTTTTTAAGAAATTTCAAATCTATTCAAAAGTAGAGGGAATAGTAACTTCAACATGCGAAGCCCTATTTTCCAGTTTCAACGATTATTAAGATTATGCCACATTGAATAAAGCCATCTTTTTTCTTTATTCTTTTCTCCAATGGAGTATTTTAAAGCAAATCCCAGACATCATGTCATTTCACCCCCTGCATAGTTCTGTTCACAGCAACGCAAAATATCATGAACGTTTCCTTACACAACCGCAATGCCATTACTGTTCCCAAGCTCGTCTGCTTCCTGCCCGACAGGACAGTAAATCAAGACACGAGCTGCTGGAGCAAGGAATAGTGGCTTTATTCAGACAGCCAGCAGAGTGAGAAGATTGTGGACTAGTGTCCCAAAGAACCATCTTCCCAAGTTAAAGTTCAAGCTTCTTTTATGCTCAAAGGGAAGGGGGCAAAGTCCTGCTTCCAGCCAGACTCCTGAGGGGATGCGCCAATTTCTTCTTTTCTGCGGCCCTCCACGGGTGGGTGTGGTCAGGACGTTTCCTGTGAGCTAGACAGAGGTGTCGCAGCTGAACGCTCATTGCCTGGGAGACAGGGTTCAATCTAAGCTTAGAAGCAACATCCCTTTAGTGATTAACTTGCAGTAGAATACAAAGTTGCTTCCTTCTTATATTTCCACCTCTAACAAAATCAACACTAATCCCTGGGTATTATCTAAAAATCGATCCATATTCAAATTTCCCCACTTGTTTTAAAAGTACCCTTTTCCAGTTTGTTGGAATTCTAGGTTGAATGATCTCTTAGGTCTCTTTTAATCTAGAGAGACTCTCCCATCACTTAAAAACAAAAACAAAAACAGGTGGATTGACCTGGAGAGTGTCCTGTGTTCGGGAATTACCTGTTTCCTTCCTCCTTGTGTCATTTAACTTCTTCCTTTGCCTTCATGTTTCCTGTAAACGGGAGTTGGCTCTATAAACTTAAGTGAACTCAGGTTCAAGTTTCTGGCAGTATTTCACAGATGCTGGTGTCACATGAAAAGCACAGAACGTCTTGTCCCAGTTTTGCTAAAGTTAAGCCAGATCACTGGACTCAGGAAGTGGCAGCCTGATCCTTCCACGGTCACATCAAACTCAGAGCCAGTCATCATAAAATTTATTGTCCAAATCAGGACATTTTTTTCAAGACTTTATTTTTGAAAAATTGTACATTTGAAATTGTATATTTCAAACAATTGAAATTGTATATTTCTAAGCACTTTGCATACACAGGAGGAATTAATTTTATATTTGTGTATCTACAAAATAATTGCATTCAAATTGATCTGTATAATCAATGCATTCCCCATCAAAATGTCAGCGGGCTTATTTTTTTTTTGTAGAAATTGACAGGCCAAATCCAAAATTTATATGAAAATGCTGAGGACTTAGAGCAGTCAAAACGACTCTGGGACAGAAGGGCTGGAGGCTTTACACTGCTTGGCCTCAAGGTGCATTATAAAGCGACAGTTACCAAGGTGTTGCCGAAATATCGCCCCCGTCCCTGACCAGCCAAATAACCCAGAGACAAGGTCTTGGAGCTTAGAAGAAAAGAGGCAGCTTTATTACCTTGCCGGGTGAAGGGGACTCACAGCAGGCTCGTGCCTTCAGAACTGTGAGCCCGTCTCAGGGCTGGGGCTTAGTGATGACATAGTGAACAAGCTGGAGAGTGAAGGGGGACAGCAGTCAGCAGGGGTCTGTGATGAAGCTTCCTCCGGAGTCTTGGCGAGTCTGTCCCGCATCGTGGGACCGTCCGGTGGTCTGGAGGGCCATCCACCCGCGACCTTCTTTATCTGATCAGACTCATTAGGCGCCAGGAGGGACTTCGGAGGGTCTGGTCACTCTCCTGAGGTTGTCGTCCGGTGACTCCCTTCCTAGGGGGATGCCTCAGAATCCAAACATGATTGTAAATGTCAATTGCCAGAGTGAGGTAAACAAACAGGAAAATTAATAACTCCAGCTCTAATTGTAGCAGTGGGCCTGGGGCTGGGGGCAGGGTCCGGTCAGTCAGAGTTGCCGACCATTTTAAATGCAAACGGCTAGTATAAGGCCAGGAGTTAGTTAGCCTGAGCGCAGCTGTTTTATTATTTCTCTTTCAGAGGCAGCGAGGGTTGGCACTGAGTTGGACAACAGAGTGACGTAATCTAGAAACAGGGCAACGCTCGCATGGTTCCACTTCAAGATCGCAGCTTGAACTGCATACAGATTCAACTCAATGTGGATCATACATCTGAATGGAAAACCTAATGCTGTTAAAAGTTAGGAGATGGCTGAGGAAGCTTAGGAACTTTGGGTCAGACAGGGATGTCTTAGTTACAGCTCCAAAAGCACAGCTTGTACAAGAAAGAGATGGACAAATTGGACCTCATCAAAAGCCAGAACTTCTGCTCTTCGAAAGACACAGTGAAGTGAATGAAAAGCCACAGACTGGAGAAAATGCTAGCAAGTGACGTGTCTGGTAAAGGACTTGTATCCAGTGTATACAAAGAGCTACCAAACCCAAGAGTAAGACAGCAAAGGTGGGGGAGGGTAGAAGTCAGTGTGTGCTTAGCATGCATGAGGCCCTGGCTTCCGTCCTCAGTACCTCCACTAAGATAAATGAATGAACCTAATCTCTCCCCTCCAAAAAAAGAAAAGAGCCCAATTTTTTTAAAAAAGAGCAAATTACTTGAATATGTACTTCATCAGAGATATACAAATGGCAAATAAGTACATGAAAGATATTCGACAGCATTAGTCATTAAGGAAATGCACATTAAGACCACAGTGGACTGTCACCGATGAGAACGGCTATAATTAGTGCTGGTGTTGGCCGGATGCTCAGCAGCCGGAACCCTCGTGCACTGCTGTTAGGCGTGCAGGATGGTACAACTTCTTTGGAAAACTGTTTGACAGTTTCTTAAAAAGTTAGGCGTATACCTAACTTATGACTCAGGCACTCCACTCCTAGGTACTTACCGATGGAAATGAAAGCTCGTGTCCGCGGGAAAACTTTTGCACAAATGCTCATAGCAGCTTTGCCTGTAAAGCCAAACAAGGAAACAAGCCAAGTGTCCGTCAACAGGTGCGGTGATAGAGCAGCTGTGTCTGCATTCAGAAGGAGGCCGGGCGTGCTCACGCTCTCGATTGAAGTGGTGGCTTCACGGGGGTGCACATGTGTCAAGGTAATCATATTGTGCACGTTACATTATGTAGAGTGTATTACATGGCAATTATACCTCAAAAAAGTTGTTTAAAAAATTAAAAATGCTTTCCAGGTCAGTGGTCAGGAGGGGCTAGATTCAGGGGAGCGGAGCCCTGTGAAACTGTAGTGATAGAAATGTTCTCAGTCTCACAGTAGCACCGAGTGACAGCTACATGGCTATGAACAATTGCCAGATTCACCAGACTGCACACTTACAGTGGGTGGATTTTATTGGATGTAAATTATAACTCAGTAAAGCTGGGGAAAATAACACTCAAAACAGCTTATAAAGAAATGAGGAAAATATAATGGTTATGTGACTTTCATTTCTAATAAGGTGAAAATTGTATTTACAGAGAAAAAGCCAAATTCTTTCAAAAAATAAAGATAACATTTGCTACATTAAAGCAAAAAAAACCCCCAAAAACCAGATTCCTTCTTTGCATTGATTGTCTAGATATTAAAAAGCAACTGAGTAACTGTTCTTGGTAAAAGTTCACATTCCTTGGTGGGAAGTTTACAGCTCAGTGGTAGAGCGCGGACTGAGCATGCGTGAGGTCATGGGTTTGATCCCCCAGTACCTCTGTTAAATAAAATAATAATAATAATAATAATAATAATAATAATAATAATAATAATAAATACATCTGGTTACCTCCCCCACCAAAAAAATTTTTTTTTAAGTTCACACTCCTTAATCTGTTTTTTAATCTTATGTGATTTGATGCCATGTTAGTGGTATTTTCCAGAAGGATATATGACATTCACAGTTGCTTTATTACTTTTAATTTTTCACAGAATTGCCTGGCGTGTTCTTCCAGAA